CACAGCAGGAGTTCTCATCCTAGTCCGTCGAGATCTGACTGCTATCGTGGAAAACCCGCCGCCCATCCCCGTGGTCCGAGGGAGATTTGCCAGCTGTATACTACGCTGGGGAGGACACCGCATCCACATCTGCAACATTTATGGCCCCACGGGTACCTCAGCACACGTGAACCCCCTCCGACAACAGCTGTTCACAACCACGCTGCCAGCCACAACCAAGCATGCAGCCGAGAACAGTGACACCATGCTGGTCTGGGCAGGTGACTTCAACTTTGTGGAAGACCCAGGGCTGGACTCCACAGCGGGTCCAGGAGGGCGACGGGGAGACGGCCCAACAGTGGACCTTCTTCGGGCAGCAGGCCCCACCATGGTGGACAGCCACCGCCAGCTGCACCCCCACAGTTGCGACTACACCCACTTCTACAGAGCTCCCTGCGTCGGGGCCTCCCGCCTAGACCGCATCTATGTAGACCATGGCACCATGCCGTACATTGCTAAGACGGAGATTGCCGTGCAAACACCGTCGGATCACAAGCCAATGGTCATGCACCTGCTGCCGTGCCGACCAGAGAGCAAGGGCCCAGGGAACCGACGAGTGCGTCTGGCCTTCACATCACACCAGGACTTAGCCGCAAGCATGGAGGCATGGATCACCAGCCAGTGTGCCACAGCACCATCTGCGGAGGACAACCCTTTGGGCCTGATTGCGTGGTGGCCAGGTTTTAAACGCCGGCTGAGCACCCTGGCCCTTCAGCTCAACAAGGCGGCACAACACCGCAAGCTCAGACCAGGGGCCCGGGCTCGGGAAGTGTTACCGCAGGTCCAGTTGGCAAGGCAAGCGGTGGATGCAGCCCCCACAGCACAACAGCCACTCCAACAACTGGTCGAAGCCCAGGCAATGCTCGCACGAGCACATCGGGAAGACTGCCGGAAGGATGCCATGGAGGCCCGCACCCACTGGCTGCGGGCAGGGGAGAGGCCGAGCCCATCCCTTACAGCCTTCCTCCAGGCCCAGGCTATAGACCAACAACCAGCCCCTGTCGCACTGCAAGCCTTGTCCGGCCGACTTGTTACCAACCCCGCTCAGCTGCCCCAGGTGGTAGCCGACTTCTGGAAGGATGTGAGCAAGGCCCCGGACTTCATCTGCCCCCAGGCCCGCCAAGCCGTTCTGAACTCCCTCACCGCAGCCAACATTAAGTTCCCAGCAGAGGCAGATGAACAGCTTGAGCCAAAAAGAT